GGGAACGGCTCCTGGAATGTGTCAGATCCCAGGAAACACCGGGAACGGCTCCTGGAATGTGTCAGATCCCGGGAAACCCTGGGAACAGCTCCTGGAATGTGTCAGATCCCGGGAAACCCTGGGATCACTGCCCAGAGCGAGGCACATTCCAGCTCCGGGGCCCCTTCCCCACCCGGATCCGTCGGGACGGCGGCACCGACACACGTGAGGCTCCAGCCCTTTTATTAAAAACATCGGATATAAATTAACGCGAGGCGGCAGATCCCGGATCCCGGCAGATCCCGGCGGATCCCGGCAGATCCCGGATCCATCCCTAATAACCAAAGAACGGCTCGGAGGGACGGGAGCGACCACGGGGGGAGCCGGAGGTTCAGCAGCTGCTCCAGAGCCGGGATCTGGCACGGCCGGGGACACCGGGAGGGCTCAGTCGGTGGATTCCAGTGGCACCAGTGGATCCCAGTGACACCAGTGGATCCCAGTGACAGCCAGGGACGCCGGGAGAGCTCAGTTGGTGGATCCCGATGACACCAGTGGATCCCAGTGACACCAATGGATCCCGGTGACACCAATGGATCCCGGCACAGTCAGGGACACCGGGAGAGCTCAGTCCAGCAGATCCCAGTGAGTCAGTGGATCCTGGCACCACCAGCAGATCCCAGTGACAGCAGATCCCAGCACCAGCAGCAGATCCCAGTGAGAGTCAGTGGATCCCGGTACCACCAGCAGATCCCAGTACCACCAGCAGATCCCGGCACCAGCAGCAGATCCCAGTGAGAGTCAGTGGATCCCAGTGAGAGTCAGTGGATCCCAGTGACAGTCAGTGGATCCCGGTGCCAGTCAGTGGATCCCGGTGCCAGTCAGTGGATCCCAGCACCAGCAGCAGATCCCGGTGCCACCAGCAGATCCCAGTGAGAGTCAGTTGATCCCGGTACCACCAGCATTTCCCAGTACCACCAGCAGATCCCGGTGCCACCAGCAGCAGATCCCGGTGCCAGTCAGTGGATCCCAGCAGCAGCAGCAGATCCCGGTGCCAGTCAGTGGATCCCAGCAGCAGCAGCAGATCCCAGCCCTAGGGACACTCGTCGCGGCCCTGGCTGAAGTGCGGCCAGACCCGCAGCAGCTCCCGGGGCCCGTAGTGATGAACCATCACCAGGCGCCGGAACCGGCAGCGCTCGTACTCCAGCCGGTACATGGTGAACGCTCCCGGCGGCGGATCGGTGACGGCCACGCCGAGCGCGTGCAGGCAGATCCCCACGAAGGCGTCCTCCATGTTGATGAGCGGCAGCGTCTGCGCCGCGGCGAAGACGCGCAGGGCCAGGTCCCCCGAGAGGACGTAGCCGGGCCCGCCGCAGTAGGGCGGGTAGGTGTCGTTGGGGTAAACCTCCCGCGGCACGAACCACTTGTAGGCGCGGTTCCGTAGCGGCCCGGTGTGCCGGTAGACGTAACCCGTGAGGAAGTTACTCCTGGGCGGCCTCAACAACCCGGCCAGGAACTCCAGGTTGAGGAAGACGTCGTGGTCGGCCTTCATCACGTAGCTGGCGTTGGCGCAGAAGCGGCTCACCCACTCCAGCCCCATCAGCGTCTTGAGCGTCAGGTTGTTGTAGGTGTCGAGGAAATCCTGCTGGAGCAGGTCGCGGTGTAGCTCGTCCTCCTCGAGCAGCAGCGGCCGCAGCTCCTGGCCGAACACCGGGTGAACGCCCAGCAGGAAGAGCCGCAGCACGTCCAGCCCCGGCACCGCGCTCTCGTTGCCCCAGGTGCGGCGCACGGCGTCGCGGGCGGCCAGGTCGGCCGGGGACGTGACCACCAGCAGCACCAGGAACGGCGTCCGCCCCCGGCACTTGTCGGGGTGGTTGAGGAGGAAGCGGTAGGGGTGGGGGTACGGCGGTTGTAGGGGGTGG